AGCTGTCACTTCCTATCTCCGAAGTAGCTCGAACTCGCTTGTACTACTCCGCAGCTTCACAAGAGTTTAGAGGTCCCACCAAGACGAAACGTGTGTTGACATTAATCAAAGAAAGAATTTAGTGAAAGTGCAAAATACCCCCCCCTTGAGCCAAACAGCGCCCGCTCATCTATATCTACTTTAACTGCTACATATGTGACCTTACGAAGTGTGAACAAGTCGTGAGATTCACTACGTGCCGCTAATTAGAGGTTAGTCTGTGCCATATGCCCGCTGAATAGCGTTTTCTCTCAGCAGGAGCTTGAGCTTATGACGAGCAAATGTGTCCTACCTATCACTTTGAGAGACATACCGTCAATGTGTTGAAGCCCAAATATTTTAGCAATATTTCGAGTTTATTTTATTTATATCGTGTCCATGCAAGGAGGAAAAGCGCGAACTGAGCAGGAAGCCCCATGCTGTAATGGCGCGTGAGCCAACATGGTCAAAAAAATCTTTGTAACTCTATTTGCTGACGTTTTTCGCATTTGGAGAACGGGTTCATGATCACCGTTTAAGAAAAACGAGTCCAATGGCATAGGAGCCATAAGCGACTACTTGGGGGGGGGGGGGGGTAGGGGGAGCATCCCCGGTGGGTCGGGGACAAAATGTTCAGTCTTGGGAGGAGCAACTCCAACCCACACATGTGCGATCCTCATTGCAATGACTATACGTCTTGTTCGCTGCGGTTGATGGATCGTGTCAGAGAGGCGGGCTTTGACATGACGCCATCTCTTTCTCGAGGAACTGCAGAAGCTAGAAGGTGACCACAGTTTGAATAAAAAGCCTGCTGCCACGCGAATCCAACTTGCCTGACACGCCCCGGCGTCTGCTGCGAACCATGACTACCATAACAAAACCTCGAAGAGACGCGTAGAATGTTGATGATTTTACGGCTAAACGGTTCCACAAGGAAGCATGGGAACGTCATGCTTCCGTCCGATAGTGTCCTCGGGCTAACCAAGCTTCCATCCTCTGAGGTGGCGGTGAACTGGTTGAGATAACCAAACTTCTACCTCTGAGGTGGTGTGAAATGGTTGCAGATTCGTCTTGGAGGATAAGAACACTGTTTGCACGTCGCCCGTAGCCTCGCGATTTATTGTATAAGCCACATCGCATTCATAAATTTCACGGATTTCAGTTCTAAAAAGAATTAGCATTCAGAATTAGCATAGTGTCAAAATTCTTGATAACAACCATAGGAACTACTTTATTTACAGGAGATTAAATAATCATCACAAAAATACCCGCAAGAAATAAGTCTTAGAATTAAAGCCTAGTTAGAAAAGCCATTTGAATTGAACTGAATATTCGCATTAAATGTCGGAAATGGGTAATATATGGCCCCGTCTCCGGGATGCAACATAGGAGGGGAGCAATCGCTGACATATGGCGAATCGGGCGGCAAGAAATGTGGAGGTGGGAGGTAGGCAGCTTCCATACATGGTGGAGCAGAGCCGCTGCCAAGTAGTAAGCGTGGGTGTACCTGAAAAATGATGATTTGAGCTATTTGCCTAATTTTTCTTTCGTTTACTTATTTAGCTTAAATAAGACTAACCCTATATTTCCAAATATTTCTTATGTTCGAATATTACTAGTTTAAAAATGAGGTCTGGAATTTTCGAAATGGTGGGGAGTTTGATGGTCCGGGCGCTTGATCGCGAGGAGGAGGGGGGCTTATAACCACGTTGCGAAACATTTTGTTGCGGCTTCTTTGAGGGCGTGATCGCCACGGCTGGTGTGAAGGATGAAAGCACCCATGATTCCTTTGTCCGTTTTCCTCACTGGCGCTCCACCTCTTCACGGTCTCAGAAGGAGGGGCACGCAAAACACGAAAGCGCAGTAGCTGACTGTCTCCGCCCATGCTTTCAGCGAAGACTGTGGCTTCTATTATCAATCGATAGGCTGCTGAAAGATATAGTCTGCTATGGTCAACCTTCTGTAGGACCTCTAGAGTTCTTATAGAAGACTAATAGTGGGTGTTGGGTTGATCAGCTGCGGAAACTTCGCAATTTTACCGCGGATTCAAGAGTATGAAAAAGTCTATTATTTCATTTGTTTATTTACTCATTTTGCATGAAATCCATGGCGTAAATAAGAACCTGAAGAAGTGTAGCCAGCATGTTAGTGGTGGTCTGACTGAGTCCAATGGATAACTGATGGGCATATTCCAGCGGAGACGGTGGTTGACCAGTTTCAAGAATTCGTTGAAGCGCAAGGATGTAGTTCCTGAAATATTGATTTTATCGATTTTTAGTGTTGTGCACTTTAGTGTTTTTGATGCATCCAGCTTATTCCACGTTGTTAATGTGCTTTGGATGAGTCAGGTTTCCGAGAAATCAGTATTTTTACCAGGTTGGGTGGTAGGCTGGATAGGCGTTTTCTTTCGAGCTTGGGGTACTAGCTGTGGATAAATGACGCTCTTTCCAGTAGTTTGTTTAGTCGGTCTACCTGTCAGAGGGAGGCAAGGCCAAAGGCAATGAGTACTACTAAAGATAGCCCAGAAAAAGCCCAGAAACGGTGTTGTGGCTGATTTTTGGGGTCCATATTCGGGCCAGCGGTCCATCAGTGTTCAACCAAGTGCTTCTTTCATTTCAGCTACTGAAGAATACCACGCAAGTTCCTAATGGGTCCTTTTTTGTATGGTTCGAGGCGAATATAATATTATCAACGTCTCGGCATCGATCACAAATATCGATTTTCGGGATGCGCTATGAACTCAAACGCCCACTCCGAACCGAAGAGAAACCATTTCACTACTCCCCTGATCCTGTTTCTGATGTTTCTGATGTGGAGGGAGTATCTTCCCCCCTCTCCCTTCCCCTGCTCAATAGCGGAATTTCAGGAACGTTTGGACAAGATGGAAGGTAATATGCAGGGGCGGGGATCGTACAAGGTAAGGAAATTGAGGAGGGGGGATTACAAAATCCTTCCACAAAGTGATGGTGTCCTCCACCTCTATTCCACAACTTTTCGTTTTTCTCAAAAAATAATCGGCAATTTGTCAATCTACAACCGAGAAAAGCTCACCTGGCCAATCGTAGTGTTTCGATTTTGCTCAGCTTCTGATGTTGTGCAGTGATGGGAATGTACTGCAAAATTCATTTATATTGTGGGACAATGTCTATTTTTTGACATTTTTCAGCCTTTAATTATTTACTTATTGCTAGTAAGCATACCTACCTGTCTAAGCACATCTAGGGCGTCGTTGAGGCCGTGCATGCGCTGTCTTTCTCTTCCATTTGCCTTCATTCGCCGCTGCTTCTTCTTGAGACCGTCATCGTTCGCCACTTTCATCGTCATTCTTAAAAGCAAAGTAGACAATAACGTATTGACACTAGCTGGCAGCAATGAGGTAATCAGTAGCAAAAAGTCGAAGAAAAATCAATAAGAATCAATATCGGCAAAGCTTTACAAAAGCGCAAAAAGGTAATTTGGAAGTAATAAATCGTATCAGACAAAGCTGTAATCTTCGGCTGTTCTCGGAATGACCGTATGATTCAAGTGAATCTTGGGTTTCCTAAACTCCCAAGAGCTATGACACTGAGGAATATGAGCGGCACGGCCACAACCCTCCTAGGCGCCTGCCTTTTATAG